TGACTCTTTAGGCTAAGGAGAAGTTTGATGCGCTAGAAAAAGATTTTGATGTGATGGCGAAGGCAGCTGAAGAGGGAAAGGTTGGTTTGAGTTTCTGTTTTTCCAACATTAAACTTTTCATGCTTGATAAGCGTCTGAGATAGTGTCATGAAGGTTTATAAGCAGCAGACCGGCCCGATTTTGAGCATTGGAAAATTAAAAAGAATAGAAAATGGTTCTGAGCTTTCTCTCCTTCTTCTCTGAATTTTCCCCTTTGTTATCAGAATTCTTGAATGTTGAAGAAACTGAATTAATTGATGGTTCAAGAAACACGCTCACGAAGCAAACGCTTGGCGAGTGAAGTATGAAAGAACATCGGAGTTGTCCATAAAAATCCAGCAAAAACGTAAAGCTGATATGGAGAACTTCGACAAGGTCTTCAACCTTGCGAGCGGTTACTATAAAGAGTGAGTTTTTGCTTGAGCGTTCTTGTTTTACTCTGGAGTCTGGCTCTGTTTTTGCAGAGTGAAACATCTGACGGCTAGCAGGAGTGCTATTAGGAAGGAGTTCAACAAACTATCGAAACTCGTTAAGACCTATGTACCCATCATGTTCAGTGTTATCAAAAGTGCAAGTTGGTTTTCTTCTCTTCATAGGTGACCTTTCTATTGCATAGCTTCCTTTGTTTCTTAACAAATATGCGAGAGCATGCTTTCCAACCACACAAACGATATTTTTATACCTATTTTTTACAGTATCTCTACCGATGTTCAAAACCGAGTTGCCAAATAATATACAGCAGGACGCTGAAAAGTTATGCACCGGTGATGTAGAAAGAGCGTTCGAGCTCGATTATCCAGATCACTGCTCTGACACCGATGAAGATGATGATGATGGTAGTTCCTGTCCCATCCTTCTCTCATTCTTTGCTGTTTTAAATTGCCAGTTGATTGATTGATAGAGGTTTTAGGCATGTCCTCGGAGCTGGAGAGATTAGTAGGATGCGTGAAACTTACTAAGAAGCCTGTCGAATCCAAGTTGCCCTGGAAACCGTCACTGACTGTCACAGTGCCCCGCAAGGGAGAAAAAGTGTCAGTGCAACCTGTAGAGGAGCAGTCTTCCAATGTTGTTGACATTCCTGCGACGGCCGCTGTACCAGAACCAGAACCACTCCCTACAGTGACGGAGCCAGGCCATTCAGAATTGATGGAACCGAGTATCGAGCAGTTGGGCGATGAAGAAGCTGATGCGCTTCTTGAAGTTGGAGCAGAAGCTATAACGATGCCTGTACCGGTTAGTTGGGCCGTGCACTGGGAACAGTTTTCTATGGAGCGTTTTGAGTATGTGAGAGCTACTCTTGAGAAAGCTCTTCTCTGAAAAAGCGTTACTGTAATTCGGATTGTTTTTGGAGTGCGTCGAAAATGTTCTTAATTCCAGCGTTTGTCGACGAGAGGTGGACCCAGAGGGCGAGGAAGACGAGGACGAGGAGCAAGGCAGACACCCGCATCTGCAGCGCAGCCTC